CTTTACCTCGACTTGAGACCAACTCGAGTTGCAACCAGAGTCACGGAACGGATTAAGTTCGTATCCCGAGGTACCACTGTACTAGAACAAATGGGAGTAGAAGCGAAGAAGGAAGTGATGCTAGCCTCTGAAACTGCATATTAGCACATATTTTAATAAAGAGTTGCTCTTGAGGGTTTTGAAAAAAAATTTTTTATTCAAAATGAAATAACAAAATATTTACCCACTGAATACATATATGAGTCTTAAATGGGTGTTTTAAAAAAGACGTAATTGATAGAGAACCAACTGAATCTAGCTTTCATTCAGATGTGAAGTTTTGTATCTTCTAGCAAAAAAGTTTTAATCCCCCCCCCCTTTTTCCCTGCAATCTTCTCAATAAAACAATGCTAGAGCTCAATGATGCAGTCTTTAAATTCATACCACTGGAAGAACTATTCATCTGTTGCAGAACAGCATTCACTCCCATCCTATCCAATACCATTTCTGTCTCACATTTGGCACTGAAATTGCACCAGTCACCTAGCAACCCAAGGAAATCTGACTTGACAAATTCTTCTGAATTTCTCAGTTCCTTTAATGCTAAATCAGGATGTCTTTTTAGATCATCCACATGTAATGACCACCAGAGACTTTACAAAATGATTCTATTCTTTCTGGACAAATAAAGATCTTGAAACCACAGTAAGGAATTTATGTTACAGTGCTCCCTATCTGGTTCAACCCTCATTTGCTATGTGAAGAATGCTATGTGTAATGAAAAAAGATGAATGGGGTTATTTTTTGTGTATCATTTGTATCTACTGGTCAATGATTCAAAGTTGGGGACAGGGCAGGAAGCTTATTTTTCTCTGACAACAGCACAACCAGTTGATAAACAGCACTGAGTTTTCCCAAGAAAATGGGAAATATTTTAGAATAATTCAGCATTTGGAATAATGGACAACATGGCAGACTGTGAGCTGATTAAGAAAATCAACTTCATTGGTATGGTTATATCAGTGGACATACTTGAAATAAGTAATGTCCAAAGATTCTTTTTATGAGAAATTCTTTCCTATTTTTTAATGGAATTCTGCTCTTTGTAGGGTTATTAGATTCAGCCCTTTCACAGAATGCTGCATGGCTTTCATTAATTTCAGCTTCTTTAGAGTCCCAGCTCTTACTAGAAATAGAGACCCTAACCCATGTTACTATAACAACCAGGTTAGATGTTAAACAACAAGCAAATCTGCCAGACCACCACCTTCTCAATAATGTTTTATCTTTAAAAGTCTTTTCAATAGAATAGTACCATAGGAATGTTTTTAATTGGCTTATATTTAACTTTAAATAGATGTGCAGAAAAGATAGGATTATATTAGCCCATTCAAGTAATTTTGCTTAAAAATACAAGATTCCATTTAGGGGAATCAACAGTTGTAGCTAGTGCTGCTCATTGGAGTATGGATTCCCTATTTCCAATTGTGTATCTTCTGGGTTTTTCTATCCCCTTCAGTGCCTTCCTGGGAGGGGTCAAATACAGGCTTTTTTCCTTCCTAGTGCACTTATTCATTAAACATTTAGATTTAAATTGCCTTTCATAGCATGAGGAACAGAAAATATTTATTAGCATACAGTTTCCCTATTGGCTTTACACAGACTCTGCCCTTAAAATAGGTAACTGATTCGCACAAGAGGGAGCTACTTTGTTTTAAGTGATATTATTCCTCTATCTAGCTCAGTCATGACTATTTAGATTAGTAGCAGCTCTTCAGATTTAGTGCAGCAGCCTTTTCCAAAGTTAACATTTGGGGTCATGAACAACTAAATTAGCCCACCCCACTTTAAGTACAAGCATGCACATTCATGTTTCAAGACTGGTTCTACTGCTATCATCTGGCACTGTTAATTCCATTTGACTGAAATCAGTGGCTTGTTCTACATCATACAATGTTTTAAGATTGCTCAAGGAAGTTCTTAGGGACCATAAACTACTACTTAAATGACATCAGAAAACTTTAATAGCGAAATTGCTCAGTGTGTATTTCATTTTTATGAACTCTTCCATAAAGGTATTTAGGATTAATAATTCCTTATAATTAGCCCTTGATAATGATAACCCTGAACATTTGTACTTTAAAAACTTTCATCAAGAACCCACCATTTCCATGATTCCAATTAATAATCAGGAATTAGTTTTTCTAACCGAGGAAAACACACTACTAAATCTTGTGAATCTATATCTGTGACAAATTCTATACCATATACACACAGATACACCTGTTTTCATTGTCCAATATTTTAAAAATATTCCTCATTTCTGTGATTGTGACTTACTATTTCTCTTATTACTTCAATTTAAACTTGAACTGTGCTGTGGAGTGGGTTGGGGGGAATCACACCTTGGGTCTTCCAGTCTTCTTTTAACTCAGTTCTCAACATTCCTGATTACCAGCTACATTGGCTGAACCCAGTAGCTGAAAGAGAAAACTGGAGTTTTTAAAAGAACATCCTTTTTTATTTCTCTAGCTCCATCTCACTATGTTCCTATTACTTTTCCTTTGGGCAGAAGCCAAAGCATATATATCAAACCCTTCCCATCTCTCTGTAGGTATGTATGCAATATGTAAAAGGCCTGTCTTAATAAAAGACATTCCGTTCCTAAAGTGGTGTTTCTGTATATACAGTATCTGACTAGCTAAACTAGGAGATGAATTCAACAATACTCTCTTCCTCAAGTTTCCCAAGAATGTCTCCACTACTGGAAGCAAGGTTTTTATCCTCCACAAATTGACACCATTCCCCTTTTATTAGTCAACTTCCATAGCTAATCACATTCCATTATTTAACTATAAAATAGCACTTCCTTCATATCCAGAGAGCTTTCATAAGCAGGGAGGAGAATGGGGTAAGGACAAGATAATAAATAAATAAATAGCCCTAACCCCAAATCACTACATATTCTTACTTTATGAGGAATTGTGTTTAGGATCAATTTCATAATTCAAATCCCTCTTTTAATAACGTGATAGTTACATATCTTTCCCTTTTTCTCCCTGCCGCTCTTTTGTGCTTTTGAGTCTCCTGGGGACTAAATGAACTAGTCTCTGCAGTTTTCCTGGCAACATTTTTTGGAAATGTTTTGCCCTTGCCTTCTTCCTAGGGCTAAAAGAGAGAGAGAGTGACCCAAAGTTGGTTTTGATGCCTAAGGCAGGACTAGAACTTGGTTTTCCTTGCTCCTAGTCCAACGCCTTAAATTTTAGAAAACCAATTTAGCAGCTTTCTTTTATGAGCCAGTAGCTGAAGTTCACTGCTCTGGGCATTGAGGAAGAAAAACAACCTAAAACGCTGATGGAAAATATTGTTCCTTGATTTTATCCACTGTTAGTTAGGTATTACTGAGCCTGGTTGGACTACCTGGCGACTGTACAGTCTGACATTAAAAACATTTTGTGAATTGGCAGCGTAGCAGAACTCTTTCATTATATATCTAAATAAACTCTTATTATTAATCCCAGTAACTCAACAATAACCTGACCTTGTTTTGAAATATGACCTACTCGCCAATATTTGGCTGTGAATTATACTGATGTCAACTGTTCCTTGAAAACACATGTCTGACCTTTCTCAAAGTTACTTGATATGTAGCTCTACACAGTAGGAGTGCCATAAGCAAAAGAATTCAACACAGTGCTATTCAGTGTTTCTTAAGCTATAGGACAAGGCCATTACAATTTCTTGGTGAAGTGAATGATGCAAGAACAGAAGGACTCCTGCAGAACTCTTAACCCAAATGTGATAAAAAAAACAACAACACTTCAGGAATATAAGGCCTTGGAAACAGAGACATTTTGAAGATGTTACATATACAACATATGTAAAACAAGCTGACTGTGGAAAAGTTAGAAAAATTCCAGCAAGCATAGAGGGGAACCATTCCAGATAGTCTTCAAGGAAGCAGAAAAAGATGTAATCTGTTATCTTCTCTGTAAAGCTGTCTGTATATAAATAATACAACAAAGTTTCTCCATATGCTTTGTCTTCCAAGAAAAGGTGATGCAAAAAACAGAACTAGAATAACCTTTAGTCACAAGATCAGGTTTTTCAAAACTTTTAACTTCACAGATGTCATGATTTTCTTAGCCATCCCTTTGACATTTTGTACATCTTCTTCATGCTGTAGATCAATGATTTTTTCATCCCTTTAAATTAAAAAAAAATGTAAATAATGGATGGAAAATTTTAATGGAATAGAATTCAACCCCTTACATTCATAAACTTAGTCATTTCAACCTATCAGCTGCTGAGATGCTAACATGGGGCATTCCAGCATAAATTCATTAGAAAATTTATTGTGATAATTGTGTACAACAGTTGCAGAGGACATGAAACACTTTTCTCCATTAAAAACTGCTAGGTCTCTTCTCTTTTTGCTATTCAAATACAAATTAACAGATTTTTATTCCAGTTGGTATCACTTTAAGATACAGTATTATTCACTAAGTTGCCTTCCTGCTTTAGCTGCTGTTATAAATTATTATACGTGATTATAATTGGTTTTATGACAACTTCACATTGTTTATGTTACCAGCATTAGTACATATTAACTGCTTAAGCTTCTTTGATAGAAAATCAAAGTAGAATACTTTCATGTAACACTAATATTATTATTTTTTTTGCTTTCCCTTTCCATGAACACCCTTGATTCCTGCTCTCTGTTAATACCAATTTAGAACTAGAGAGCTAAAGAATATCTTCAGTCAATTCTCCAGGTGTTTCTGTATACTGCATTATTTGGTGAATCATCCTACTATTTCATGGTTAACTCTCTAGCCTATTTGACAATACTCACTGGTCCATTAGTTCATTAAAATAGTCCCCAATACATTTTTGAAAAGTTTAGTTCTAAATCTTACCCTACTGACTCTCGTGAATTCAGACTCCACAGAAGAAGGCAATCTTCAAGGTTTTAGTCAGCCTTTTTGTGTTACTATGTAATTAAATAGCATATGTACAGAACACAAAAGTGACCTTTTGTCACTTTGTAAACTTCCTGGTATCCTCACTCCATGTAAATGAAACCATCCCCCCATCCTTTGAGAGTATATCTAGGTTTCTATTTTTCACTTCCGCATAACCTGACAAACAGCTGCTGCTTCATTTTTATTATTATGTGCCATCAATACTTGCTATATGCATATAATACAGAACATTTTGTTCACTCAAAATGAAGCAGAGCATTATTTATTAAAATGGCTGTCAAGCATAGGTTCTAAGCACTATGGAAAACAGATCCTATTCTTACCCCAAATAGGGATATCCCAATGGACAGGAATAAGTTTTGACCCTTACATACAACATGACTTATTTGAATTTCCATTCACTCTTGCCCATGTCCTCCATTTTAACTTGAATAGCCAATGTTCTAAGCAGATCTGGTCTACAATGCATTTCAGTCTTTGACTATCTGGGAACCTCTTTACAGTAATAAGGGAATAAAAACTTTTTTTTCTGGCTTTTCCATCACAAGCTTCACTCATTCTTCCCTTGCCCATCTTGATGTTTATTACTGCAGATGCCTTAATTTTGATAACTTCCCCACAGTTCTCTCTCTAATTGAATGCATACCAAAGTACAAATAATGACTAGCACTTCTGGTGAATCCCTGATATTAGGAAATATAGTATTTTCTACATAAGCAAGAGATAGGGAATGCGTGTCCCTTTACATGCTGCTCCTGTATTACTCCCAATAATACTGGCTAGTACAACCAATGGGGAGGAAAGCTTGAAGTTATAGTTCAGCAAAATGGAGGTGATGGGGTGCACAACACATGTCATCTATCCCTAACGTAGGTAGTAATCTTATTTGGATTTCAGCATTCAAAACAAGCAAGTGTTCTGATACTACGCATTAACAGACACACACACACACACACACAAAAGAACAAATTGGAAGTAACCTCCTCGCACAAAGAGAATTGCATATGTTCAGAGGACATTGTTAAGGAAAGGCAAAAAATTGGGGTGGAAGAATGGAATGGAAAACTCTGGAAGAAGACGTAACTGGCTGGTTGATACCCTGAGCAGGAGCACTCCAAAGTGCAATATTTCATTACAGACCCTGTTGTAGTGTTATTAGTTCCAAGCTAGTGAATCTTCCTGGCTACGGAAAACATCCTCAATACCTTTGGGTAGACACTTCTGAAGTAGCTTTGCACAACCTCTTTCATAAAGTGGGAGAGGCCACAGACCAGATATACAAGAGTGACACCGAACAAAGGAAAGGGATGCAATCTAGACAAGATTGTTCTTGATCTTGTCCTGAACATAGCACCAGTACTGGGGAGGAGACACTTCCCCTATATTTTTTTTACAAATGCAAATCTGATCACTTACTTCTCCTCCTTCTAAGCCCCCTGCCCCCACACTCATACTCAAGAGTCCACAGGAATGCGTGCTTTTCGCAGAAAGCTACACCTGACACAAGATCATTACTGCAAGTATAAGAAAGCTTATTTTATTTCACAAGGTTGCCAAATGCACTATATTTTTTAAAGACACAAGCCATGCAGCTCTCTTTGTGAAGCATCTAAATAGAAAGCATTTCAAAGCTTTATATGCCATAAGACCAAGAAGAAAAATAAATCAATGGATGGTGCCATTTCTAATAGAAACCAGACCAAAAGCCTTGCCGCAGATTTAGAAAACATACAGGCTCTTTTCTTGAAGAGCTAAATAGGGCCTCTAAAAGTAAACAAAAATATAGGGCTCGAGCTAGCTTAAAACCACATGGGCTGTGCAAGATGAAGGGAAATCCTGTTAGAGGGTTGAAGGCCTTTGTTGTATTCTCTGCCAGTGTGTGGAAGCAGAACCTGCCAGCTAGATAATGACTACAGTCTACAATCTAACTGCACACCAGATGGTCTTTATGCACTGCAGAACTTAGCAAGGACTATTTTACCTGTACTTCCACAGGTGGTGACTCAAGTGTTACAGATACAGGTATCTGACTGAAAGAGGTAACTGCTGCATGCCAGCTCAGCAACACTTAACATTCACAACATAGCAGGATCTAGTTACCAACCATGTTCAGAATCCTACTGAGATGATGGTGGTGGGTGAGAATAAAGAGGCGAAAGGCAAGTTACTAACGTAATGTCTGGCCTGAAAATTCTGCCTCAAGCCTGCTGCTATTAAAATCTGAATTAAGTCTGTGTGGGAAAGAGGAAAAGGGGTGTAGGAGATGGGTGGATAATGTAGCACGATAAATAATAGTCATGCAGGTCTGTGCTAGTTCAAAGCCTCATTAGAAGAATTACAGCTGTAACAAGAGAAGGATGGTTAAGTGGTTAAACCGGTATCTCTGTACACAGCAGAATATATGAAAAACACCCACACAACAGCTAAACTTAATTGGGTTATGTCTTAAAACTTCTGCTGCGCTGCTACAATCAGTGCATTGATGCAGAGAGGCCATCCAACTTATCAGTCAATCAGAATGAGTTAACAATCCAGAGTCAAGTTATACAGGGATTCCTACCAATTAAAGACTTTTGACCAGAGGGCTAATGCTCCATTATGTAGGTACTAGTAACTGGCTGAAGTGGCAGACATAGGAGGAATTATCTCAACTGGGATCAGCTCATCACAGAAAGCACTGCAAACTATTAGAAACTTGACAAAAAAGGTTTCATAATATTCATAACCCAGGAAGACAAAGCAACAAGAAAGCACAGCACCTTCATTTTTATATGCTTCCTTTCTTTCTTGACATAATTAAGGGTGACAGTAAAGCACATGGAAAAACTAATTCCTAAATGCATATGCGCAGTGAGGAAAGAAATATATTTTATCCCAACAAAAGTATAACATTGAAAACAAGCAAGCCCTTGACATTAAGTGTCCCTCCGAAAGCAGGGCTGTATCTCTAACACTTCTAGAAAAGGCCACGCCATGTCTTGCTTCCCCAGTCACCTCACCCTCCCAGTAATATGTAGCCTGGTTTACCTCTTGATCTATGCCCATTATACTGTTAACTTCTTCACCCTTTCTTCCTATCAGTTATGGCTAGTGACAGGGGAATAGCTCAGTATTATGATCTTGAATGAAACTCTGCTACACATAACAGAGGGGAAGGGAGGAATGCAACATAGAACTGTGTGTTTGGCAGCAGACCCCATTCTCCTTATGGGAAGCTCTAACTTCACATTCCATGGAAAGAGCTACAGCTGGGAAAGGACTGCAGTTTTGTGATAGAAAATATTATTTGTATGCAGAAGGTCTCAAATTCAGTCTCTGCAAAGGGCTGGAAAAGATTCCAGTCTCAGTAGACAATATTTTTCTATAAGCCTAGATTTTAAGACATAGTTTTGCAAAATATTTTTTTGAAATTTTGCCCAAATTACACTTAACAGTGGCAGGAACATAGGTCACACTGACAGCAATATGTGGTTTTACTATCACAAACTACTGAAACTTTACTTTCACTGCTTTAATAAACATCGTTCCCATCATAAAGTGTAAACTAGGCTCAGTTTTCCAGTTTTAGTAGTGTTCCATCTAGAGGAGGTTTGAAAAAAACCACATCAAAAAGCAACATAGAATAGCAAAAAACAAAGCAAACTAAAGTAACTGCAATTAAAGCTGTGATTTTTAAATGTTCTTTAATACTTGTTGAAGTACTTTTTAGAACTACAGTTCATTAGATCACAGCACAGCCCAGCTTAGCAAGTCATGAACTCATATACCCTATCATCTTAACCAGTAAATGCAGAATTATTTTTCAGTAGCCCAGCAGCACACAGCAGCTTTTTTAGCAGAAAGAGAAAAGCCCAAAGTCTGAGATATTAGAATGGGGCTCTCAACGGCAGACAAGAATTACTTGCAGACTGCTTTGTACGCAGTACTAGTTAGGTTCAAAGGGTGCAGAAAGCAGCCACAGTATTAGCACTTAAAACATTTAAATCAATGGTCTCTCTAGCTAACTTTTATTCATTTTTCAACTTTCCTTTTATAAAAACATTCTTGTATCTTTGAGTACAAGTTTTATCTGGAAAAACACTGCACACATGTTCTTACCAGCTGTTAGGGTGGTTTTAGCACTCTGAATTAGGCAGGACAACCCCACAATTCTTGAAATACCTGGAGTGAGAGGAGGGGGAAAGGAGGGAGAGAGAGAGAAGATAAACACAGCCAGATGTTATTCCTGGGATTATTTTTAAAAAGGGGTTAAACGTTAAATATTATTCCAGAAGCACATTAAACCACACATGGCAGAATTGCCAGGTGATTATCCCACCAAATACCGCATATTTTGATTTCGTTAGGGAGATTCGCATTTGCTCCAACGCTTTCAATACGTAAAACACATCCATGGACATTCAAAAACTGTTCTGTGTAATGAAGTGACCTTCACAAATAAAATCCAAGTTTTCCACTGTTTGCAATTCCTGATGAAGTTATTAACCATAACTTGTTATTAATTTGAAGTAGTACAAGACAACTTGGCTAACGACCTGACTCTGCCAACTCGCACGGGGCGAGAAGAGATATAATCAACCCTGGGGGTGACTGGCACCTTGAAGATGCTCCCCAAGCCTAATAATTTTTAGTTCACCATCAATATCTTGGAATATATTTATTATTTGTAGGAATATTGTTATATTGTATTTTAATTAATATTTATTCTTTTACCGTAAATCGCCCAGAGTCGCTTCCAGTGAGATGGGCAGTGACAAATGTGAAATATAAATAAACAAACTTCCTAAGAGATCCTAAAGTAGTATGTGGTTAAAAAAAAACACTATATAGCAGCAAAGAAATAGAGAAAACTAGCTCTCTTCTGTCATCTTGTGTTCTTTTGGATTGTTGCAGCCCAGCTATGGTAGCCTTGGCCAAGTTGCCTCATAAAAACAGCAAAGCACCTCACTTTCTTTAAAACAAACTTAATGTATTTTACCATCTGAAAATGCTCTCGCCTGGAGGATCTTGTCACAGCCCCTTCGGATGGCTCATTCTCAGAAAAAGGAGATGAGCCAAAGGTGGCAGTGAAAGCTGCTAAACCCAAATGGCCAAGCCCCTCCTGGTATAGGGATTAGGGAAGAACTAACAACCTGCAGATCTGGGCCTGTTTTCTCTGACTCCAAACGAGATTCGCTCACCTACCCACCCAAGCCCACAAGAGCACCTGCAGCAGATAGCTTAATAAGAGGTTGCAAAAAACGAAAGGGCAATGTTGCAGGGACGAACCTTGTGGGAGTAGTGGTCTACTCAGGAGCTATTACTCCCAAAGTGCTCTGCATTCTGACCAAGACTTATGCACCTGGGCTGGGCTGGGCGCCTGAAATAGCTAGTATAAAAAGCTATCCATTGAAACAGTCCAGGGCTGTTATAACCTTGTCTTTACCTTCCTAGCATGCTGATTCAAATCACACATCTGGACAAATGCACCTTGGCCTGACTACCTTCTGTATTTTGACTGCACTGTGCTTAATCCTCTGGCCTGAATGTACTTGCTCTTCTATTTTGGAATTATAAATCACAACACCTCCCAACCTCAACATAGAGCCAATCTGATAAATGACCCTGGCCTTTACATCAAAGTTCCCAAGAGAGGCAGAAAAAGCAGGGTAGCACCATTACTACAATGACTTCATTACTAAATCCCTTCCTGAAAAGGGTCCATGCAAGTCAGCTCATCTGAGAACCCTGGAACTGACCACCTTGGCCCCAAAGGAGGTGCATGTGACAGGGTAATCACTGATACAGTCATCAGGATCCAGCAAATGTTTCTTAAGGTATCTCTCAGTCAGTGAAACTGGGGGCCACTGCTGTCAAAATGGCAGCAATTACCTGCAGGACCCACCCAGAAATCCCCTTCAGCTGAAACTAATTAGCCAAGAGAATAAGAGCCAAGCAGACAGATAGCTGACACGCTGATTCCAAGCAAACTGTCCACGTTTTGCCCTATATTAATTGAAACCAATTTAATATAACCAGACTAGATGGTGTGCTGGAGACTGTCCCATGGTAATTTTCCTGACAACTATGCCTGTGCTGTATAATGTCCCACTCTGCAAACACCCATTTGTAGCATTCAAAATAGTGGGAAATTTAGGCTTTATTTTTTACAATAAAAGAGTTACCACACTCAGATTTCTAAAGAAACCAATGTGGTGCCAAAAATATAGATGAAAGTTCTTTTATGCGCAGCAATGTAATTTTTAGACCTATCAGAACAACATTAACATGGTAATCATTTTACACATTTAGCAGACAAGTGAGATCATTTAGTATGTTTATAACCTTGAAGGCACAGAGCTGAAATTTCTAAGTACTTCATTGGACACCACTAGCTCCCAGGTTCAGTCCACAAGTTCAGCCCTGAGGAGCTATAATTTATTCAGTAAGCTATTGGCTAAGACCCAATGAACAGTGCAACCAATGAATGGGACACACCCAATGATAGTTCTGCATGTTATATGGTAAGTGGCTTTTGAGCCAAATAACCTGAAATAGGGAATCAGGAAGGAGAAGTGGTAGAAAAAATTTATGAAGAGAAGTTTGTTAGGCATGACTAAGCTTTGGCATAAAAACACAGCATTTTGAATTAGTCTTTATAGATTCTAAGGTTGGGTGACACAAAAAATATCAATCACATCATCAGCATTGATAAAATTGCCTATTTCCAGCTTGCTGGGTATAAAAAAAACAGAACAAAAATATTATGAATTCTGAAACTACTATATACAAGACTGATTCTGAAACATTCACTTGTGAAAATGAATTATTATCATTAAAACCTACCCTGGTGTACCACAAATCTACAGTCAGGGTCATGGGCGACTTGTAATAAAATTTCTTCCACATCTCTGTTCTTCCCTGGAGGATCCTTGAGAGAAGTTATTTTTTGCTGCAGGGTGCTTGGTAAAGCCATCAGTTGTGCAAACTGACCTTCTGGACTTTTATCTATCTAAAGATAAAGAAAGAGCAGACACAGCTTGTTTTCCTTTAACAACAGCATAGAGTTTAATGCCAAAATTAGCAGCCCCATTTGGGAAACAAGTTGCCAGCTTACACAAGATATGTGCAGGAGAGCACTGACTTTCCTTCGTGGTCTATTCATTAATATTTTTAATTCAGGCAGAGCTTTTTTCCAATTTTGAGCAAAAAAATATTATATAAAGCAGATCATTTTTCTATGATATACAATAGAACTATCAGGCAGAAATCTTGGCTAAATGTCACCATGGCAGTCGTCATTTACAGCAGAAATGCCACTCTGTTTCTAAATGAGATTGGTCCAGCAATCTGATCAAAGCCAATGAATTCATGAAAGATGAGTTATCTGAAAAAGTTAACTCTGGCTATATGTAACTTAGTTTATTTGGCCTTTGGCTAATTTCTTATAGATTTTAACCAAGTATCTTACCCTCATTGCTTATATGAGCATCTAACAGATTACCATTTTTCTGAGAAGTAAATTAAACTGGGATTCATGCACCCAGCATAAGAAAGCAGAATGTAACACATTGGCATCTTCCTTTACCAGAAGTTTGTGTGTATGTGTGCATGTACACCCAAGTACACATACTGTACACCTTTGAGTCAGTCTTGACTTCTGTCAACTGTCTGGACAATTCACACAGTTTTTTGAAAGTGGTTTGCTACTGCTTTCTTCCTAGGGCTGAGGAAGAATAATTGGGCCAAGTTCACCTGCTAGAACTCCCATCTCCCCTTTCTAGCCTAGTGCCTTTAAACTGGCTCTCTTGAATAGAATTAGATTTAGATTAACAGAACTACATTTCCAAAATAAACTAATGCCTCACTTGTCCAGATGTCTTAAGTAATCAAGCCATCTGGACATGTCATGCTATGGGTGGCTTGTTATTTAACATATCATACAACTATTCAAAATAGTTTGCATTTTAAAAAGCTTGCGACAATGACCTGCTTACCTCTAACTTGCCCAGCTGGTGCTTGTATATCACTTGGGGGCTATCTTGCAAAATATGACTATAAAGTTTCTGAAAATGTATCATGTTTGGTTTCACTATGTTCATAACCTTTGATTTATCTTCTCCAATGAGCATTCTGAAATCACCTAAAGCAAAGCCAGATAATCAATATTTATATATACACACTGTTTACAGAAATATAATTTGCTTTACACTTAGTAAGATTTCTAATACTAGCTGCAAACAGAGTTACAGTCTAACCTACAGCAATCATTATACTAAAGGGACACTGAGAAACATAAGCTATGAAGGGGGCACACTACACCAATGTTATATCACAAAGAGAATATAGCAAACACATGTCCTTGGACCAGAAGATCCCACTTAAAATCACTAAGCTGCGAATCTCACACTGTGACTTCAGAAAGCCTATAAGCATAGTTTCACAGATCTGTAGGGGAGAGGAGAGAAGAGAAGAGAAAGGAAATATGTCCCCATCATCTTTGACCACTGCCATGCTGATAGGAGCAATAATCAGATAAATGGATAAGCCCCCCATTCTACCTGAGAAAAGTAGAATAGAAATGAAGCTAAAAGTAATAGTTGAAACACCTGGTAGACAACACTCTTGTTTGTACCTGCTTCCTGTTTGGGCAAGTCCACCAAACACAGTAAGAACTACTTTTATGAGAAATGCAGTTTATGAAACCTCAGACAGAATGTTAACTGCATCAGAATTCCTCAGGAGAGCCTTTACTAAATTGGAAAAGTAATGCTCAGACAGCCTATTAACAAAGAGAAAGACCAGCTTCCCATGATACCTGGCAGCCTTTCTTCCAGATGCATTAGATTTCAACTCCCATCCTCCACACACAGCACAAGTATGTGGACTGAGGATGTTGGGAGCTGTGGTCCACACAAGGACGTTTCTGGCTGATCTTATCAAAACGTCAGTGCCATTTTGCCCTTAAATGTACAGCTCAGACACTGCAATTGGAACATTTGTGTCAGCCAGCAGAATGTGCCTTAAACTCTCCTAAAACTAAAGCTAAAAGTAATAGTTGAAATACCTGGTAGACAACAAGGTGTCTCCAAGGGCATCTCAGCCTGATCTGACAGGAAGTGATCCCAAAGAAGGTCCAAGGGTCCCCCCGCCACATGCCAACATAATATACTCACTAGGTTTGAGTGGAAGGGCTGTGTCTTTTTTCTTTGCAATTCTAGGGCCATTGTATTAAGAAACTTCCACTGTAAAGTACTATATGAGCAGTTTCTTCTCTCTTTAACACTCAAATGCTTTACATTAAACAAAAATCTGGACATTCAGCTGCATTATGCTGAAAATCAGACATGAATATATCCAAGAAATAAAGCAATATTAGTGCTTTCTAGCTGACAGGATGTAGGCAACAAGATGTTCAGTTGAAAGCCTCTAGATTAGAGACTCTCATTTGCAGAAAATAAAAGCATGCTAAGAGCAAAAGTGGGCTGTGGTTGTGCTTGTGGCACACTGGCAATGTGCCAAAACTGTCCTTACTATTAGCAGCAAATGATGCATGTGGTAAATGTCTCATTAGAGCCAAGGAACCCATGCAGGGAAGCCAAGGTATAGGCTGGGTCACCATGGATGTCAGAAAGCATGAACAGTGTCATCTAGACTGTGGTGGGTGTGTATGAAGGTAGGAATCCATATGCTGGTGATAGTCTTAAGTTCTAATAACTAGGGATAATGAAAAAACCAATGATGACCACAATTTGGTCACAACCACAATTTGGGGGAAAATTGTGCAACATTCTGAATAAACGTGATGAAGGGGAAAAATTAGTCTGCTAGGTGACATAAATGGATGAGTGAGAACATGTGGAGGTCCAAGAATAAGAACAGTGATTGATGAACATCTGTTTTGAATATATGATTTAAGTATCTATCTGTATGTACACATAGGTTAAAGGAATTAATCTAAAAGTACAGTGGTACCTCGAGTTACAAACGCCCCTCCTTACGAATTTTTCGAGATACAACCAGCTCCGGCCCCAAAAATACACCGCGACTTGTGAACCCCGCCTCGAGTTACGAACCGGATCCGCGGCCATTTTCCCTGCTGCCACGCGGGCGCGGCTTCCTGTGGGTGAGATCGCA